CCCTGCGCTGGAGGGCCGCTATGCGCGGCGCACTAGCCCAGAGGGGGTCCAGGCGTTTCTTGGCCACCGTGCGGATGACCCCCTTGCCGTGAGTGCCGTGGCCGAGATTTCGCACATGTAGCCGCTCGGGAAGGCGTAGCGCCCGAGCAGCCTTGCTAAAGCCCAACGTGGCCGCCGTCGTGGTGGCCATTCAGCCAGACTTGGCGACCTTGACCTCCAGGCCCAGCCGAGCCACCTCCTCTATGAAGCTCTTCGCCGCTTGGTGGAGGACCAGCGCACCTCTGCCAATGGCCTCCCCAATCCACTGCATGGTGAGGTCATCCGTTAGGCCTCGCGGCGTGAGGTCGTCGGAGATGCCCCGCAGTCGCGTCGCCGCGTGGAAGAGGAGCACCGTGAGGAGCGCCGAGCTGTGCGTGCAGCCCGCCAGGATGCTCTGGTCGGTGGCCACGGCCCGAGGCCGGTACTCACTGGCACGGACGCCCCTGTGCGTGCGGAGGTAGGCCAGCAGCTGCCAGACAGGGCGCATAAGGGGTAGCCTCGCCGCCTCGCCCCCTTCGGCAAGGGGCTGGATCAGGACATTGCCGAGGGCCTCGTGCAGGTCCAGGATGATCGAGATACTGGCCTCCCCAAGGAGGTGGGCAATCTCGGCCGAGGTGTTGTGGCCGAAGGCGAGGTCGACCGACGACGGCGAAGTTCAAAGGCCGTCTCGTGCTGTTGCTTCTGGGGCCACTGCCTGGACAGTAGCTTGCGCGCTCGCGCCCGGACCCGAACACGGGTGAGCACCAGCGCGATCAGGCGTGTGCCACCGTCGGGTTTGGGCAAGCGCATCATCACGTCGACGATGCGCTGGGACGGCCAGCAGAGGAGGACCTCACACTGCATGAAGAGGAGCGCCTGTGGTTGCAGGCCCATGTCCGAATGATGACACAGGCGACGCGGGTGCAGCTTGGACTGGCCCACGGTCGTCCAGTCGCTGAAGGTGAGGACCGCCCGCCTGATCTGCTTGCCATCCAGCAGTGGAAGACTATCCCACCAGTCCGCATCCCCAGCCAGGTTGACACACGGCGCCGCATCGGCAGACCACAGGTCCTCCTACCCGTCCATGGCTTGGTGGTGTCTACCTGCATGGTATCGTGGCCAGATCCTTCACCCCCCACCGTCCAGGCGATCCTGGAGCTTGGTGGCACGGTGTGCCCTCCTGGCTCCACCCTTGAAGGCATCGTCCGCCCACTGACGCCAACGCGCTGCCATGGCGTTGTCGTGCAGTGCTTGCTTGCCCTTGCAGCGCGTGACGATGTCCGCCATGCGCTGCTCGAAGGCCCGGTGTAAGCGCAGCTCAAGTCCAAGATCGAAGAGCTCCACCACGGCAATCGGCACGGCCTTCCACACGTGCTTGCCCTCGAGGACGCGACTGTAGAAGGCAAGGAGGGCAGCCAGATTCTTGGTCTTCCCCGACATCCGCTGGGCAGGTTCGCGCACCAGGAGCAGGATGAGCCCGGCCAAGTGAGCCCTGGCCCCAAGCCATGGCATCGCTCGGACGTGTGCATTTTTTCTCGGCGAGAACCATCGAGGAGCATCCCTGATCTTTTGGCGAAAAAACCACGCAGAAACCACACAAAACACAGGGAATGGACGTCCGAGCGATGGCGAGAAGCAGGTGCTTGGCACAGCGGGCCACCGAGGCCCATGCTGGCAGCTCCGTGGATGGGCGCAGCCTCTTGCTTGGCGGCTGCCACTTGACCTGCACCCCCTTGCTCCCAGGTGCCCCCGCTCTGCCCTCGTGGCGCTTGCGCTCCTTCGCGGCCAGCAGGGTCGCAGCTGCCGAGGGCCTCGCCCTCCGAGGTCTCGCGCAGCAGCATCCCAGCAGTCCTGCAGCGCCCGGCCCGTGTCGGCATCAAGGATGAGCTCCTGGAGCCGTTCCCGCGCCCAAGGGCGAGCGGCGGTCGCGAGCGGCCTGGCCCGACAGCAGGGAGGGCCCGCAGGCTCCGCGGGCACCCGCTTCCACGAGGCCCTGTCCGTGGGGCAGGGGCGGCAGGCAGGAGCAGAGGGGCCGCGGGACGGCGGAGGAGGGGGGGCGGCAACGACGAGGAAGCACGCGGGTTCAGACGTGTGGCCCCGCGCCGAGGCGGGAGCGCCGTGCTGAAGGACGGAGGGGAAGTCTGTTGCCAAACAATCTCCAGATGTCAAAACATGTATTAAACATGCTTTAAGCATGTAAAACAGATGTTCAACACATGTTTCGAACAGTTCCTCCTACACGTCAAACACATGCTTAAACTCAAGGATAGGACTGTTAGGGTGTCCATTGTCGTGGCATCCACACGGCCAGTGCTGCAGCGGGAGCAGCTCTTCGACACATCGAGAAAAAGGTTGTGTGCTCGAGAAGCTCACGCGGAGTGCCTCCGTAGATGTGTAGGCGCGGGGAGAGGGGCCCCGCTCGCAGAGAACGGGGGGAGAGAGGAGACCAGTACCCATACACCGCACTCACATCTACACCCCTGGGTGGGTGTATGTGCGGCCGTTTGTGCGCTGTCATGTGCGCGCATGTGCGCTGCATGTGCCAGTCATGTGCCAGGCCTGTGCGGCCCTTCTTGGATGGACGTCCTACTGTGCACGTCGTGCCCGGGCATGTGCGGGGGCATGTGCTCTGTGTTTTGATGTATCCATCATACGCACATGCACGCGCAGTCCGACGCACATGCACGCACATGCCTGCACATGCGGGAGGTGCTCGAGAATCGCAGATCTGTCATCGGCACATGCACGCACATGCCTGTGCAACCTCTCTTCGGGAGGCCGCGCGGGCCTGCACATGCACGCACATGCGGTGAAGCGCGCGGGCGCACATGCGTGCACATCCCAATGCACATGCACGCTCATGCCCTAGGAGCTGTCTGGGACCCCTGTGCCTCCAATGCCTCCTGGCCTTCGCAGAGCTAACCTGGGGCGTGCCAGGGCTTCCTGAAAGAGTTTGTTGTGCGTTTAGACTCGCCCGCTGCTGGCGGGGGCGGTTCTTCGCCCGGTTCGTGAGCTGGCGGTGGCGTGCCCTCCTAGTAAAACACTCTCCCGCGCGCCTTCTCAGCTCGGCCGGAGAAGCAGGGGTGGGGGGGGGGAGGTGGAGGGGGGGGGAGGAGGGGGGGCGGAGGAGGCGGACGCCCCCGGCTCGGCCGGCCCGCCCGCCTGTTCGGCTCGGCCAGAGGAGAAGGAGGAGGAGGAGGAGGAGGAGGAGGAGGAGGAGGAGGAGGAGGTGAGAGTTGCGAGGATGTCTCAGGCGAAAGTGGCTTGACGGCCCGAGCTCAGGGAATCTCGGAATCGCTGGCCTGGCTCGGCCACTCTGGCGAACTCGGCCTGTGCGAATACTGTGCGTACCTGTGCGGGGCATGTGCGGGACATGCAAGAATGCCGGGGCCGGCGTTCGTCTCCGGGCGCCGGCGCGTTCGCGTCCGGCCGGTTCCGCGTCCGACATGCTTTGACATGGGGTGATCTGGCCACCTTCGCCTGAGACATCCTCGCAACTCTGGTCTCGGAGATGCCCTGCCCCATGGTGGCCCGGCCACTTTCGCTTGAGACATACTCGGATTTCTGGGTTTCGAGACGCCCTGAGCTGAGGTGGTTAGACCACCTTCGCCTGAGACTTCCTCGCAACTCTGACCTCAGAGATCTCCTGCCCCATGCTGGTCAGGCCACTCCTGCCTGAGACATCCTCGCAAGTCTCGATTCCGATATGCCCCGAGCTGAGGTGGTCAGCCACTGTCGCCTGAGACATCCTCGCAACCCTGATCTCAATGATGCCCTGCTCGATAGTGTCTCGGCCCCTCTCGCCTGAGACACCCTCGGAACTCTGGGTTCCGAGACGCCCTGAGCTGAGGTGGTTCGACCACTTTCGCTTTACACATCCTCGCCCGAGATGCCCTGTGTTGAGGTGTTCAGGCCACTTTCGCCTGAGACATCCTCGCAACTCTGACTTCAATGATGCCCTGCTCCATAGTGTCTCGGCCTTTTCCCTTTGAGACCCTCGCAGCTCTGGGTTTCGAGATGCCCTGAGCAGGTGGTCAGGCCACTCCTGCCTGAGACATCCTCGCAACTCTGGGTTCCGAGACGCCCTGGGCTGAGGTGGTCAGACCACTCTCGCCAGAGACATCCTCGCAACTCTGACCTCAGAGATCTCTTGCCCCATGGTGGTCAGGCCACTTTCGCCTGAGACATCCTCACAACTCAGACCTCGGAGGTGTCCTGCCCCATGGTCGTCTGGTCACCTTGACCAGCGACATCCTCGCCACTCTGGTTTCCAAGATGCCCTGCCCCATGGTGGTCCGGCCACGCTTGCCTGAGACATCCTCGGAACTCTGGGTTGCGAAATGCCCCGAGCTCAGGTGGTCAGGCCACTATCGCCTGCGACATCTCTGCGGCATGTGCGGGCATGTGCGTCTATGCTTTCAGAGTTTTTCTTGACCGTGCATTCGACTGTGCGTCGGACGGTGTGGCATGTGCGCGCATGTGCGGCAATGCTGTTGAGGCTTTTGTATATTTGCATGGGCATGTGCATGCGACTGTGCGGCATGTGCTTGCATGTGCGGCCCCTTCCAGACCACAATTTCAAAGTGAGCACTATAGAAGTGAGCGCTATAGAACTGAGTCCGGTGTACTGGGCAGTCGTGGCAGGACGGGGAGGGGAAGAGGCGAGAGTGGAGAGGCGCTGGGGTGGGTGGACCGGACGGGGGAGAGGCGAGAGGCGAAGGGCGGTGGGGGCGGGAGGGGGAGGGGGAGGGGGGGAGCAAGGTGGGGAATGGGGGAGCGAAGGGGGGGGGGCGGCGGGGGGGGGAGGGAAGAGGGGTGGCGCGCGGGGACAGGAACGGAGGCGGGAGGCTTCGGTGGCGGAACGGGAGAGTGGACGGGAAGCGACGGAGGGGAAGGGCAACGGGCGAGGGGACGATCGCAACGGGAGGGGGGTGAGAGGTAAGTGGAAGAGGGAGCCAAGGGAACCACCCCCCAAACCGAAGCTCGCCCGGCACATGAGCTTCATGTGGGAGTCTTACGACGACCAGCTTCAGTGCATACTGCAGGTGGGCAGGGTCCAGACTGGCAAGGGCCCTTACCCCGTTCCTTCCTCTCTTACTCGTCATCCCCTGCCTCTCACGTCTTACTCATTAGCATCATCACCACCATCATCACCATCATAACCTTCGTCCGTCTCGTCGACGTCAGGATCTCCAGCGACGCCAAACAGTTCCTGATTAAGCAGTAGACAGCGTAAACTGCACAATGTAAGCAGCAATCAAGATGTCCCCGACCACAACCACACGTTTGTTTGTGCTTGCGTGTGCCCCTTGCAGTTCTGCCTTCTCCATATTTGTTCTCGGGCTGCTGCTCGCGTCGTCTCCCTCCTCTGGTTGCTGGCTTACCCATGCTCCCGTGCTGGTCTGATCCTCTTCCTTGAGTGTAGTAGCTGCCGTTGTCGCTTCCCACTGCGCCTCGTCTGTTGCTTGTCACTCTTGCACGGCTTCGTCTTCACCCTCTTCTCCTCCTCCCCGTCCTCCCCTCACGGCTGCCCCCGCGTGAGTGGCGTTGCCGCTCCTCTAGTTACGAGCGGACCCAGTGTCTCCCCACCGCGTGGGCTGGGCCGGTGCGCGCGCACGAGTCCAGAACCTCTCTGCGCCGCGACGCCGCGCGCGTGGTCGCGACGCCAAAGGCAGGGTGTGTGCGCTTGCTTTTGCCACCACACTGTTGGCACGAATCTAGGCCTCCTAGATGGGGTCGGAGTAGATGAGGTCGGAGGATCGCTCCGCATCGCCGATTCATCGCCGATCTCGATGCGGAGCCCGATTATCTTCACGCGGACGTCGTCGATGCATCGCCGATGCATCGCCGATGCATCGCCGATGTATCGCCGATGTGGCGCGATCCTCCGGTTCCATCTACTCTCATGAAGCAGATCACTACGGAACTAGCGTGTGGCACGCAAGGGGTCCTCGGGTGAAGGAGGCCGCGTGCGAGCGGGCGAGATGCCGCCCTCGCCCAAGCGCCGTGCTGGTTTCGCCTGGCAGTGCCATTCCCGCGCTGGCGCAGCGCATTCGTTTTCTCGCCGAGTCGTCGGAGCCGGAAGTGGAGCCGCGCGCGAGCGTGCGAAGTGTCTTCCTCGCCGAAGTGCAGTGCGGATTTTGCTGGAAAGTGGCTTTCTCACTCGGGCGCGGCAAGACATGTCGCTCGCCAGATCGTCGGCAGCGGAGTCGCGCGCGAGCGGGCGAACTGTCTCTCTCTCTCTCTCTCTCTCGCCCAAGCGCCACACACGTTTCGCTTCAAAGTGGTGCTCCCGCTAGGGCGTGGCATGTTTGCCGCGCGCCGACCTGTGGCCGGCGGGGTCGCGCTCGAGCCGGCGGAATGCAGCTCTCCCGCTCTGGCGCCGCGCCGATTTCGCTCGAGCGTGGCGCACCTGGCTGGGCGCGGCGCAGGCTCACGCTGCTCGCCCAGTCGTTGGAGGCGGAGTCGGAAGCGGGGCTGTGCGCGAGCGGGCGCAACGTCGCCCGCGCCTCCACGCCGCGCCCATTTCGCCTGGAAGCGGCGCGTCCGTGTTGGCGCGGCGCGCGTTGCGTTAAGTCGGGCATTGAATTTACCCCTACCGGAAAAAAGTTCAAAAGTAGTCACAAATAGTCAGGGGCAGATTTTTCAACGATCTGCGTTTTTTGGAAATTTGTTTTCCCAACGCTCCTGCGTTGGGTACTCGTTTTGGATAGAGCACTGCTGTCTCCACCTCCTTTTTCCCGCCTCCCTTCATCTCTCTTCCCTCCTCTTCTCTTCCCGCTTCCTCTCTTTTGGGGGGCTGCGATCCGCCAAATTGTCGCTACTTTCGAGGGCTGCTGGGGGGTTCAGCGGAGTGAGGCACCACCCAGACTCAGATTAGACCTCGCCATCCTCGGGGGGCTGCGATCTGCGAAATTGTCGCCACTTTCGATGGCTGCTGGGGGGGGTCACCAAACTGAGGCACCACCCAGACTCTTATTAGACCTCGCCATCCCTGGGGGGCTGCGATCTGCGAAATTGTCGCCACTTTCGAGGGCTGCTGGGGGGGTCGGCGGAATAAGGCACCACCCAGACTCAGATTAGACCTCGCCATGATCGGGGGGCTGCGATCTGAGAAGCTGTTGCCACTTTCGAGGGCTGCTGGGGGGGTGGGGGTGGCTGCGATCTGCGAAGTTGTCGCCACTTTCGAGGGCTGCTGGGGGGGTCAGCAGAATAAGTCACCACCCAAACTCAGATTGGACCTCACCATCTCTGGGGGGCTGCGATCTGAGAAGCTGTCGCCACTTTCGAGGGCTGCGAGGGGGTTCACCAGAGTCAGGCACCACCCAGATTCAGATTAGACCTCGCCATCCCTGAAAAGGGTTGCGATCTGCGAAATTGTCGCCACGTTCGAGGGCTGCTGGGGGTTCAGCGGAGTGAGGCACCACCCAGACTCAGATTAGACCTCGCCATCCCTGTGGGGCATCCATCTGCGAAACTGTCGCCACTTTCGAGGGCTGCTGGGGGTTCAGCGGAGTGAGGCACCACCCAGAATCAGCTTAGACCTCGCCATCCCTGGGGGGGCTACGATCTGAGAAACTGTTGCCACTTTCGCTGGCTGCTGGGGGGTCAGCGGAATAAGGCACCACCCATATTCAGATTGGACCTCGCCGTCTCTGGTGGGTTGCGATCTGCGAAACTGTCACCACTTTCGAGGGCTGCTGGGGGGGTTCACCAAAGTGAGGCACCACCCAGACACATATTAGACTTCGTCATCCCTGAGGGGCTGCGATCTGCGAAACTCTCTCCACTTTCGACGCCTGTTGGGGAGTTCGCCAGGGTGGGGCACCACCCAAACTCAGAGTAGACCTCGCCATCCCTGGGGGGCTGCGATCTGCGAAGTTGTCCCCTGTTTCGAGTGCTGCTGGGGGGTCGGCGGAATAAGGCACCCCCCAGACTCAGATTAGACCTCGCCATCCTCGGGGGGCTGCGATCTGAGAAGCGGTCGCCACTTTCGAGGGCTGCTGGGGGGGGGGCAGTGGAATATGGCACCACCCAGACTCTTATTAGACCTCGCCATCCCTGGGGGGCTGCGATCTGCGAAATTGTCGCCACTTCCGATGGCTGCCGGGGGATTCACCAACGTGAGGCACCACCCAGAATCAGATTAGACATCGCCATCCCTGGGCGTCTGCGATTTGCGAAATTGTCGCCGTTTTCGAGGGTTGTTGGGGGGTTCACCAGAGTGAGGCACCATCCAGAACCAGATTAGACATCGCCATCCTCGGGGGGCTACGATCTGAGAAACCGTTGCCACTTTCGAGGTCTTCTGGGGGGTCCAGCGGAGAGAGGCACCACCCAGATTCAGATAAGGCCTCGCCATCTCTGGGGGGCTGTTATCTGAGAAACTGTCGCCACGTTCGAGGGCCGCTGGGGGGTTCAGCGGAGTGAGGCACCACCCAGACTCAGCTTAGACCTCGCCATCCCTGGGGGGGCTACGATCTGAGAAACTGTCGCCACTTTCGCTGGCTGCTGGGGGGTCAGCGGAATAAGGCACCACCCAGATTCAGATTGGACCTCGCCGTCTCTGGTGGGCTGCGATCTGCGAAACTGTCACCACTTTCGAGGGCTGCTGGGGGGGTTCACCAAAGTGAGGCACCACCCAGACACATATTAGACTTCGTCATCCCTGAGGGGCTGCGATCTGCGAAACTCTCTCCACTTTCGACGCCTGTTGGGGAGTTCGCCAGGGTGGGGCACCACCCAAACTCAGAGTAGACCTCGCCATCCCTGGAGGGCTGCGATCTGCGAAGTTGTCGCCAGTTTCGAGGGCTGCTGGGGGGTCGGCGGAATAAGGCACCCCCCAGACTCAGATTAGACCTCGCCATCCTCGGGGGGCTGCGATCTGAGAAGCGGTCGCCACTTTCGAGGGCTGCTGGGGGGGGGGTCAGTGGAATATGGCACCACCCAGACTCTTATTAGACTTCGCCATCCCTGAGGGGCTGCGATCTGCGAAACTCTCTCCACTTCCGATGGCTGCCGGGGGATTCACCAAAGTGAGGCACCACCCAGAATCAGATTAGACATCGCCATCCCTGGGCGTCTGCGATTTGCGAAGTTGTCGCCGTTTTCGAGGGTTGTTGGGGGGTTCACCAGAGTGAGGCACCATCCAGAACCAGATTAGACATCGCCATCCTCGGGGGGCTACGATCTGAGAAACCGTTGCCACTTTCGAGGTCTTCTGGGGGGTCCAGCGGAGAGAGGCACCACCCAGATTCAGATAAGGCCTCGCCATCTCTGGGGGGCTGTTATCTGAGAAACTGTCGCCACGTTCGAGGGCCGCTGGGGGGTTCAGCGGAGTGAGGCACCACCCAGACTCAGCTTAGACCTCGCCATCCCTGGGGGGCTGCGATCTGCGAAATTGTCGCCACTTTCGAGGGCTGCTGGGGGGCCTGGGGGGCTGCGATCTGCGAACTTGTCGCCACTTTCGAGGGCCGCTGGGGGGTGTGCGGGGCGCGCGGGCCGCCCGCAGACTTGGCGGCGCGCCTTCGAGTGTTCAGATTCTGCATTGCAGAGCGCAGGAAGGAAGCAGGGGAAGTGGCGGGCGAGCTAGGCTTCGCTCGCTTTTCTGCACTCACTAGACGCCGGTTTAGTCACATTGTCGAGCGCCGCGGCGTCATGGCGCAGGCAGCGTGGCACTTTTATAGTGTATGACCGACAGAAGCAAAACTCTTCGACCTCCTCCCGTCACTTGCGTCGTCGTCCTCTGCCCTCTGCCACCTTCCCTCTGCTGCTGCCGCGGTGACGGTTCGGCCCCCCGCGCGCCCTTCTCCTGCCCTTCGTTCCCGCCCCCATGTCCTCCACAAACCTGGGCCCTCGCTCCTCGTCCTTCTGTTGTTGTCCCGTGAATCGTGCCACGTGAGCGCGCCCCGTGTAGCTTTCACGCAGCATATAACGACGCCTGCGCTGTCATTGTCCTGGCAAGTTTGGGCCACTTCCTCTCGCCAGTTGATGCACATGGGCTCGGTCCGCCGCAGGGTATTTTGTCGATGTCTCCTTTTCCATTGCAGCACCTCCCTGCAGGAGGACATGCCCGACGGAAGCGTCGTGCCCTCGCCGGTCCCGTCGCAGACTCGGGAGCCGCGCGCGGCTCGGGCCGCGGGGTGCTCTCGCCGAGGCGCCGCGCAGCGGTGCCCGGGCCTCCGGGCCCCGCCCCTGCGCGGCCCGCGCCGTGCCCCCTCGCCACGGCGGCGCGGCAGCGGGGCCGCTGGCGCGCGAGCGCGCTCCGCTCGCTCGGGGGGGGCGGGGGCGCGCGCAGGCGCCGATTGCCGGCGGTGCCAGCGTCGAGAGAGGCTTCCGTCTGCGGGCGAGGGGCGCGGGAGCGGGCGGGGGCCTCTTTGGCGCGGCCGAGGCGGCGGGCTCGGGCCCTGCTCCTGCCCCCCTGCGTGCGCTGCCGTCCGTATCGCCGTGCCTCCTCGGTGTAACGCCTGGCGTGGGTGGATTGGCTGGCGCTGGCTTTCCCGAGGATTTTCTCTGGTGCTTCTTGTCGGCGCCCCGTCGTCCGAGTTCGGTTTGTTCGATGTTGCTGCCCTGCGTGCGCGCTTCGTCTTCTTCTTCTTCTTCTGAGGCGTGCCCCGTGGATGACTGCGTGCCCAACCGCGATGTCCCCCCGCCTCCTTGCTTTCCTCCAGAATGCCTTATTCGAGGACCGGCCTGCGCACCCTTCCCGCCCCCTCAGGCCACCGCCCCCTGGGAGAGGCAGGCAGGGGCGTGCCACGCGCGCCGTCGCCCCCGTTCCGTCCCTCCGGCTGCCCCTCAGGCGCCCCATCCTCGCCCCTGTCTCAGGCCCCCAGATGCCAGGACTCAGACCAACCAGGACATTGGCAAGTCGGGGAAACGACACCCTTTCCCGCAAAGTCAGGTTTGGTCGCACATCGCAGATTTGTTCTGCTGCGCTGCAGGGCTCGGGCCTGTGTCTGGGTCTATAGAAAGGGGTCGTGCAGGCGTTTAGGGCCTGTGCCCGGGTTTATTCCGGCAGTGTTGCAGTGCAGTTTTTTTCTGGTGCCGCATGCTGGAACAAGTTGTTTCCAGGG